GCGCAACACCAGGTGTGACCCAAAATGAGAAAAAAATATTGGGGGAGCCAGAGAGATACTACAGTAGGTAGGGCACTTGCCTTGCACACAGCTAAGGTGATCCCTGCTACCCTAGATGGTTCCTGGAGCCTGCCAAGAATCATCCCTGAGCACAGAATCAGGAATAAGCCCTGAGCACTATCAGGTAGTTCCCCCCCCCCCAAAAAAAAACCAAAACAAAAATTTAATATAGTATAGGGCTAGAGATATAGTGGGCTGGGGACATGCTTTACATGTAATGGGCCTTGCATGTAGGACTCTGAGTAGCCTCGAGTCCTCCCAGCAGTTTCGGAGAGACCCTCAAGCATCCTCACGTGCGGCTTAAAACAAGCAAAATTGAATATATTACTTGTAGGGATTGACATCCTTTAAAAAATTTTGGGGGGCACCGCGGGTGCCGTATCTGATGATGCTCAGGGGTTACTCCTAGCTCCTGTGCTCAGGAATTACTCCTGGCTGTGCTCAAGGGACCCTATGGGATCGAACCCAGGCTGGCTGTGTACAAGGCAAGTTCCCACCCTCTATACTATCTCTCAAGCCCCCTAAGACAGTTTATGGGGGAAGTTTTTATCCCATCATTGATGGTTGAATGTATTTCATGTTTATAATAAGCTTCTGTTCTTGTAGGTCAGATTGAGTTGCACACACACCTGCCCGTGATGAAACAGCTGGTTCAGCAGCTGGAACGGTGGGAGTTCTGAGTCTGTGGAGTGTTTCTTGTTGATTCTCAATTCATGGTGTAGTCGTTCAAGGTTTGAAACTATACCTGTCCTTGATTTTTCAGTCTCTGGCACATACAGAGTACAAATACCTTTAGTTATAATCATTTAATTCTTAACAGTTCATGAACAATACCCAGGAGTTACTTAGAACTTATGTTTGTTAAATTCATAAGCCACGTAGATGGCTCCAGTGGCAGAGCACAGAGCTGGCATGTTTGAGGCCCTGAATTTGCCCCTTGTGCACTGTTCAGTGTAGTTCTAGTGGTCCCCAACTATCAGCTGTCACCTTCAGGAGTCGTGCCAGGGCGTTGTCAGAAGTTAGTCCCAAGCACCACTGTGTGTGGCTCCAAAACCAAAAAAAAAAAAAATAGCCGGAGGCTGGAAAGATAGTACAGTGTGTGGAGCTCTTCCCTTGCATGTGACCAGCCTGGGTGTCATCCCTGCCATACTGCCACCGGGCCCCCGAGAACCTCCAGGAGTGATACTTGACCACAAAGCTCGGAGTACTACTGGGTATTCCCCAAAACTGAAGGAGGGCGTTTGGTTCCGTCTCCAGCACCTGTATGGTTCCCCAAGTCACTCAGAAGTAACTCCTGAGTGCAGAGCCAGAAGTGACCCTTAGTTATATCAGGGGATTGTGTGACCCAGAAATCCAAAAGGAAACACCCATCAGGGGAGGTGGAGAGGGAGCATGAGAGAAGATAACGTTAAAGGGTCAGAAATAGTACAGGGCTTCCCAAAAATAAATAAATAAATAAATTTTAAAAATGGGGGCTGGAGTGATAGTACAGCGGGGAGGGCCTTGCACACAGCCAATCCGGGTTCGATTCCTAGCATGCCTCAGCACCACTAGGAGTAATTCCTGAGTGCAGAGCCAGGAGTAACCCCTGTGCATTGCCAGGTATTACCACCCTCCCGCCCCCCAAAAAAATAGAACAGGGCTTAAGGTGCCCTCCTTGAAGTGGCCCACCTGCTTTTAATCCCTGTCACTACATGTTTCCTCAGTGCTGAACTCAACCCCAGCTACCTCCTGAACACTTTAAAATATTGTTGAGTGGAGAAGTGTGGTCACTGTAGATCACGTTTCTCCTTCCCATCTCACCTTTAGAATCCTAAGGTCAGCTATTGGCCCAGCAGTCTTCTGTTAGGCCATGCCTGGCAGTGCTCAGGGCTCAGTACTGGCACTGTGCCGAGGAATCACTTAGGTAGTGCTCTGGGAACCCTGTGGAGTGTTGGGCTAGAACCTGGGCTGACCAGGCGTAAGGCAAGTGCCTTAAAGCCTGGACTCTTGCTCGGGCCCCAATCTTATCGTTTCTCCTATTTAGGTGGGTTTTGTTCCAGTGGGGATCAGAAACCTTTTATGTGGAGACTGTTGGTGACAACTGATTCATCGTCCCTTTCCTGCTTCCTCTTTCAGCTTATTTCTGGCATCTTGGCAGCCTTGAGTGCTATGGTATCTCTAGAAATCCCGCAAGTTAACATCATGACCAAAATGGACCTGCTGAGTAAAAGAGCTAAAAAGGAAATTGAGAAGTAAGTTCACTATAATTAAGGTCTCATTTGCAGTGCTGAACCTTTTTCGTTTCATTTCGATTGTCAGTCTGCAAATTCAGTGTTTCGGATTCTTTCCTTCACCAGTCTCTCATTTTTAAAGGTTTCTAGATCCAGGCATGTATTCTTTATTAGATGATTCTTCAAGCAACTTCGGAAGCAAAAAATTCAAAAAATTGACTAACGCCATATGTGGGATGGTAAGACTTTGTATTTTTCTAAATTTTGGTGGTGGGGGTCGTGGGCCTCATGTGCTGGGGGACCTAGGGGCCACTCTGATTATTGGCCCACCAGGCTAGTAGTGGTCAGTGCTGGGGCCCAGACAGCCGTACCAGCAGTATTGGTTGCTTCCTGGCTGTACCCGGCAATGCTCAGGATGCCATATGGAGCCAAGAATGAAGCCCTGTGCTAATCCCTGGGCTGATGAGTTTTGCAAGTGTTTGGGGTTGTTGTGGGTTGTTTTTAAGGTTTGGGGGCCACACCCATTGGTGCTCAGGGGCTGTTTCTCCCCTGTGCCTGGTGGACCATATGTGGTGCTGGGTGTTCAAACTGAGGTGTGCGGGGTGCAGGCCAGTTGTAACCCCTGTCGTAGCTCTTCATCACCTCCCCCAGCACCTCCCTAGACCCATATTTTTCTTAATGGTCTTGTCACATGCTTACACACCCCCAGGCAGTGGCCACCATATGGACGGCACAGACCAGCACATTTCTTTTTAGGGGAGCAGCATGTTGGGAGCGGTCGGCTGTCTGCTTCGAAGTTAGTATAGGAGTAGGGAGAGAGCTCAGTGGGCAGCACCACAGGGATTGCACACACGGGCCCTGGGGGTCATCTCTGGCACCATATGGTCGCCACCAGCATTGTCTGGATGTGGCCTCCCCTCACCTCTGAAAAAAGTTGTCATTGGTTGTAGCAGAGAGGGCAGGAGGCCACACTGAGCAGTGGTCAGAGTTTATTCTTGGCTCTGCCTCCAGAAATCATTCCTGGTGGGCTCAGGGAGCATACGGGATGCGGGGGATCGAACCTGGGTGCATCCCTTGCTTACGTGCAAGGCAAGCGCCCACCTCAGTGTACTAGCTCTTCCATCCCACAGCAGAGAAATTCTGCAATGTCTTTTATTCCTGGCCACTTGGCACATCAGAATTGCCTGTACCCTTTTGAAATTTTTAGTGGTTGTTGAATGCAGATAAATTACTATAAAAGAAGTCTCAGTCTCTGGTCATGGGCAGGAGCGATAGCACAGCAGGTAGGGCGTTTGCCTTGCATGTGTCTGACCTGCGTTTGATTCCTAGCATCCCATAGGTGCCCTGAGCACCACCAGGAGTTATTCCTGAGTGCATGAACCACGAGTAACCCCTGTGCATCACCAGGTATAACCCAAAAGTAAAAAAAAAATTCTTTAGTTAAGTAATTTTGTAGTGTTACTAGTGTTCCGATAGGTCAGAGGTCATTAAAAAATTAATGCTGATTTGCTGTTGATCTATCTGCTCCTCCCTGCACAGGCATAGATGGTATTAATTAGACTACCAATGTTCAAACTCAAACGTCAGTTGAATGACCTTTCTGAAATCTCTAATTTGTAGATTGATGACTACAGCATGGTCCGATTTTTGCCTTACGATCAGTCAGAGAAGAAAGCATGAACATTGTATTACAGCATATTGATTTTGCCATTCAGTACGGAGAAGACTTGGAATTCAAAGAACCCAAGGTAATTTCTGACGATTTAGATTTGCCAGGGCCAGAGAACGGCACAGAGGCAATGACCATTCTCTGCCTCCCCTAGGCTGACGCTGGGTCAGTTCCCCGTTTCGTGTCTGGTCCCTGAGCACAGAGCCAGGATTGCCCTGAACACCTCTGCCCTCCTGTTTGGTCTACGCAGCTCCTTAATTTAAAGTCTTGGGGGCAGCAAGAACCTGGCCCGTTCTGGCTGATCTCTGGATGTGGCTGAAGAACTCAAAACCAAAATAAATAAATAAATAAATAAATAAAAAGAGTAACCAAAACCCTGGTTGCGGATTTGGTGGCTTTTGTGCTCCAGAACCTAATGGTGCTTTGAGCGCCCGATTCAGGAAAGGAAAGTGACCCACCCCCTGTGCTGTCTCGTTCGTCCCAATTTTGTTAATGAATATCTATCAGCACTACCTCTGGGTATTATAGAGAATTGCCTGAACAGTAGGTAAATATATACTGGGTCTGCAGAGAAATCAATGTATTTTCTATTTTGTGTTTTATTTATATTAGGAACATGAAGATGAGTTGTCTTCTATGTTGGATGAATATTTTCAAGAATGCCAGAACAAATGAAGAGTATGTTACGATGCAACTGGATGCGGGGCTGGAGTGATACCACAGTAGGTAGGGCATTTCCCTTGCACGCGACACACCTGGGTTCGAATCCCAACATCCCATATGGGCCACCAAGCGCCGCCAGGAGTAATTCCTGAGTGAAAAGCCAGGAGTAACACCTGTGCTCTCCGGGTGTGACCCAAAAACCGAAAAAAAAAAAAAAAGACAAATGGATGCTTGTGAAGAGTTGCAATCACAATTTATTTAAATGAAAATATAACAGATAAAGTAAAAACAAAGAATAAATATTATAAAATATACCGAGGCAAGATACTCATTGGTGGGAGGGTATCCAGACAGAGACACTGATGTGAGACCCTGGGCTTCTTTCAGTTGTAAACATGCTAGGTCCTCTGGGAACTTGTCCAATGTTGCCACAGCGGGTGGCCGTGCAGCTGGTACTCGAGAGATCAGTGTTGGCGCTGTCCTTGGACACGGAGCCAAGTATGGTTTCAGAGCAGGAGCTAAAGAATCAATAAGAGAGAAGGTCACCCAGAGGGCTCTTTCCATGGATTCCCCAAAGCTGACCCCAACAGGGAGCCCACAGGAATGGGAGACCATGGGCCCACCTCACGGGGGTTTCCTGTGGAGGCCTCCCCAGAATGGGCTCTCCGGCCTGTGACTCTCCTTTCCCACACCAGCCCCCAGGACACCTCTAGGTGGGCCTTTTCGCATTCCCCTTTTACTTGTGCATATACACACACCCCTTGGTTCTTACCCGTTTTCTTCTGGTGCTCTGAGTCTCGTTCTCTGCCATATGTGTCAGGCCATGGCATTGAAGGCGGTGCCCTTTGGGGAGTTGACAATCCTTGGCCAATCTCAACTTTCTGCTTAGATGGTGTCTGGCTCTGCTTGGTGCTGGCTGATTCCAGACTTTCTTCAGAGGAACTGGACCCAGAGGATATGTAGAAGATCTTCTTTCTCTCCTCTGGGCTTCTCTGCTGAGGGAGGGTTGGTCTCTCCTGTGGGCTTCTCTGCTGAAGGAGCATCTCTGTCTGCTGTGGGCTGCTCTGCTGAGGGAGAACCACAAAGGCTCAGCTCCAGAAGCGCTGCTTCCCCCTCCCTTCTGAGTTCCTCCCTGCTGGTGGACCTGCATCTACACAGACCTCCCATAGGAATGAGATTGAAACAATCAAGTTTAGAAAATTCTTGGCCAAAGAGCACCTCCTCGTGCCAACTCAGTGAGCAGTGACCTGGCCTTGGGGGTAGATTTGATGACTCACCTGCTAGGAGCAGGCTGCCCTCAAGATGATCTCACAACACACACACAGACACACCTACATACACAAATACACATACTCACTCACACACACACACACCATCTCCAGTACACACTCAAATTTACTCTCTCCGATAAACACGTTCACACCCGGGTGTGCACACTCTTCCACACACACAGCTTCTGCGCCATCACACTCAGGGAGTGATGAAGACTGATCACGGGCATCAGTGCTGGGGCTGCCCGGGTCAGTTCCTGCTGACCTGAACTAGCGGCTGTCTTTGTGAAGAATTCCGGGGAGTTCTCCAATGAGTCCTCACCAAGTTTCTGAATCTTTTCAGTGTCCTACACTTGGGGGTTTTACAACCACGATTTCTTGGTAAACAGCAAAACATGTTTGCTGTCTATGCGTTTCCGCAGTGATCCAATTAATGAGTATGGGGGCGGGTGGGGAGGCTGCAGAATGTCTGGTTGCATCACAAAGAGAGGACAGTGATATCATCGAGCGCTTCACAGGGAGGACAGGTCAGCTGTGTCCCTGCAGCAGGGCTTGCTCTCTGTGCAACCCCCTCTGGCTGCTACTGCTCTCTCTGTTCCCAGAAGTTCTGTTCATGTGGTGAACTCAAGGCCCTGGGGAGAGCAGGGAGCAGTCACTTGAATGAATGGGCTGCTAAAAAGTTATTTTCCTTTTTTTAATTAGTAGTATTGCTATTTATTCAGCCACTGATTAGCTGATTTAATTGGGAATGAACTCCACCTTACTATTTTTTTTTCATTTTTTATCATTTTCTTTATTGAATCACCATGAGAGCAGTTGCAAAGCTTTTGGGTCTAAGTCTCAGTCATACAATGAAATACCCGTACCTTCACCAGTGCCCATTCTCCACTACCGAAATCCCCAATATACCCCCATCCCACGCCCTCCCCCTACCTGTGGGGCAGATGATTTCAACATTACTCTCTCTCTACTTTGATCACATTCAATAGTTCGACACCAGACCCATTATTATTTGAGATTTTTCCCCAACACTCAGATTTGCTGAAAATGCAACCGTAGACAATTTGTGTTCTATTGCTGGTTATGGATAACATATGATGTTGCGCGGCTGCAGTAGGGCCATGTGATTTTGAAATCCTGAAATTTTAACACTAATCTGGATGGATTTCTCCCAAAGGCCACTGGGTTTCGAGATTTGCTCCTGAGTCTCTGGAAGCATGGCCATTGAGCAGCTTGATTAGGAGCCAGAGAGGCCGTTCATGGGCGATTACTTGGGGTCTTGTTGGGGTGGAGAGGACAGGACTGGCTCTCCCCCCATCCCGCGAGGCCCAACAAATTTTGTCACTGTGGGCCCAAGCCAGACTGTCCAGTGGCCTCTGGAGGATGACGGCTTCCAAGCCGCCAAGAGGGAGCTGGCGGAGTGACAACACCCTTTCTTCCCTGGGGTGGCCTGGCCACAGTAAGGTACTGTGGGGTCCGGACGCACTTCTGCCAATTGCCACTGGGTTTCGAGGTTTGTTTCTGAGTCTCCGGGATCATGGTCATTAAGCAGCTTTATCAGGAGCCAGAGAAGCCGTTCGTTGGCGATGACTTGGGGTCTCGATGGGGTGGGGTGGACAGGCCCGGCCTCCACCCCCATCCCGCAAGGCCCTGCGTGTCTCATCACTGGGGGCCCAAACCTGACTGTCCAGTGACCTCTGAAGAATGGCGGCTACTGGGCCGCCGGGGGAACAGGCCAAGGCACGAAACCTATTCCCACCTGGATTGGCCCAGCATTGGTAACCTACTGCAGGGACCAGACATATTTCTGCCAAAAGCCCCTGGGTTTCGAGATTTGTTTCTGAGTCTCTGGGATCATGGCCATGAATCAGTTCAATCAGGAACCAGAGAGGCCATGCCTCCAATTATATAGCTGAACTGGAGGTGTTCTGTGGGTGTGTTTCCCACATATCTAACTTTTGGCCGTTTACTTTCTTGGTAAACTTTGCCCCAAGTTTTTGGGGTCTGGCCAAATGCACAGCAACTATTTTTTTTTATTAGTGAGGTATACAGTTGCAGACTTACAAATTTTTGTGCTTGGGTTTCAATTATACAATGATCAAATACCCATCTCTCCACCAGTGCCCATTTCTTACCACCATGCATCCCAGTATCCCTCCCACCCCCCACTCCTCCTATCTCACCCTGCCACCGTAGCAGGGCATTCCCTTTTCTTCTCTCTCTCTTATTGGTTGTTGTGGTTTGTAAAACACCAATGGGTGACAATAATGTTTGTTCCATAGTCTACTTTCAGCATGCTTCTCCCATCTTGGGAGGATCCTCCCAGCAGCTTTATTTGGTGTTCCCTTCTCTATCTGAGCTCCCTTTTCCCCTAGCCTGTGTGCTTGGCCTCATGGAGTAAAGCCATGGAGTAAAATTAAAATTAAAGCAATCTTTTAATAGCATCAGGGCTGCAGACTTAATATAAAGGATGGTGTGTCCTTTGAGTGCAAGATGCCCAGGTCCATTCCCGGCACCATACGTTCTGTACCATCCGTCAGGAGTGACTTCCAAGACCAGAGATGGAAGTCACCTTGTACACCCCGGGTACCACCTGTGTGATCCCAAATCCCTCCTTTTCCTCAAAGTAAAATAATATGACTAGCACCAAGTACGATTGTGAGAATTGAGGAGGCATAGAACTAGTACTGCAGGTTGGGTGCTTGCCTTGCATGCATCCAGCTTGGGTTCCTTCCCCATTACTGCGTGTGGTCCCAGGAGCCCCTGAGGGTGATCGAGAGTGATCTCTGGCTAAGCTCTAGGCACAGCTAGGTGTACTCCTCCTCCCAAAAAAGATTTTGAAAGTGAAATTGCAATGAATGTAAATAATTTTGTATATAACAAAGTAGCAATGATGGTCACAGCTGCTCTTGGATAATTTTTATTTATTTTGGGAGCAAAACGTATTGTAACATACAATTTTTTTTCCAAAGGATTAATACCTGGGAAAATTAAGTAAGATCATAATCTTACCTTTATTTTTTAGTTTTCGTACACTGAAAATTATTTGTACAATTACAATACTAAAAGTCACTTGATCGCTTGATCACTTGATACCCCGTTACTCATCGATTTACTCGAGCGGTGCCAGTAACGTCTCCATTCATCCCTGTTGCGTGCTAGCATAGCCCCGTGGCATCTGCTCGTTCTAGGAATATGCAGAGCCTCAAACCGATCATTCAGGGTCTTCTTTGTTTGTTTGTTTTATTAGTGAAACACCATGAGGTACAGTTGTAGACTTACAAGTTGTTGTGCTTGGGTTTCAGTTATCCAATGATTGAGTACCCATCCCACCAGCAGTGCCCATTCTCCACCCCCAACAATCCCAGTATCCCTCCCATCCACCCCCATCGCCCATCCCACCCTACCTCTGTGGCAGGGCACTCCCTTTTGTTCTCTGTCTCCTTTTGGGTGCTGTGGTTTGCAGAAGAGGCACTGGGTGGCAATCATGTTCAGTCTATAGTCAACCTTCATCATGCATCTCCCCTTCTGGTCGGATCTTCCCAGCACCCTTTATTTGGTGCTCCCTTCTCAATCTGAACTGCCTTTAGCCCTAGAGTGTGTGGCTGGCCTCGAAGCCATGGAGTGAACCTCCTGGTATTTATCACAGCTGTTCTTGGGTGTTAGTCTCTTATTTTGTTACTTTATGTTACCCAGATGAATGCAATCTTTCTATGTCTGTCCCTCTCTTTCTGACTCATTTCGCTTAGCATGATATTTTCCATGTAGTACCACTTGTATGTCAATTTCATGACTTCATTTTTCTAACTGCTACATAGTACTCCATTGTGTGGATGTACCAAAGTTTCTTTAACCAGTCATCTGTTCTCGGGCACTCAGGTTTTTTTTCCATATTCTAGCTATTGTAAATAGTGCTGTAATGAACAAACAAGTGTAGATGTCACTTCGACTATACTTTTTAGCCTCTGCGGGGTATATTCCCAGGAGTGGTATTGTTGGGTCAAATGGGAGCTCAATTTCTAATTTTTTGAGAGTCGTCCATAGTGTTTCCCAAAAGGGTTGAACCAGTTGGCATTCCCACCAGCAGTGAAGGAGGGTCCCTTCCTCGCCACATCCGCGCCAACACAAGTTGCTTTTGTTCTTTTGAATGTGGGTCAGTCTCTGTGGTGTGAAATGATATCTCATTGTTGTTTTGGTCTGCATCTCCCTGATGATTAATGATGTGGA